TACTGGTTACTTGTTGGATCAAACTCGCTAGACACATGGTCGCCAGAAATGTGTTTGTAACATGTAAATGAAGAGGTGACGAGATGTCAAAACGGCTGACCTTCGGAAGTATCGGGAGAAAGGAAGCGCAGCGAACTCTTTCCTAATCTGTTTTTACTTGAGAAGCATATAAACCACAAACGTATTGCTTCACTTTTAAGCTTTTTTTAGTATTAATTTACATTCGTATTTGAAGTGTGAAGGTCACTTTGCAATATATGATAAAGTAATTTCAGACAAATAGCTATCTGTATTAGACTTTTTTGTTCTGTAATTTTAAGTAGATTATGTTTTAAGTACTTGCCTCATAGTTGAGTGATCTTAACTTGACGTCTTACTTAGGAAAATCCAGGTATATGTTACTCAACATTATCGTTTATTGAGTGCAACTAGTCTTAATGTGCAATACAAGATATGTCTTAGGTAGTGGATGAGCTTACACGCATAATTATTTTTATTAAAGTGGTTTTATACATTTAGGAAGCACCAATCATGCAGATGTATACGAGCATGTGCCGGAAAACTTATAAGCGTAATTTCCTAGACAAGTTCCTTCATACCTAGGAAAAATAAATAAAATAGTAATGACCAACTCATCACGTTACTCGATAGTATTTTGATTAACAAGTTGATCCAGAATGCGGTTCACAGAGTAACTCTCGTTAACTAGCAAACAGGTTGGATCACCGATTACTCATGAGAACGCGTTTAACTCGACCATAACAGAACTTTAACTCTAATGCTCCAGTTAGATATCATTTGCATACATTTTATACTTGCGTCTAAGAATTTGATAAAATAACAATAAGAGATGTGGTAAGAAGATTATTTATCTTTATAACTATTACTTCAACAGAATTTAGAATACTTTTGCAAATCAAACTGCTGTAATAACTTCATTAATTTAAAATTATTAGACATACCTATTTCATCTGGCCTTTTACTTAGTTAACATGTACCTAAACAATTACAATATAGCTTGTAGGGTCACAGTAATTAAAACAACATAACATGTGTGATTACAATGAAATGATTAAATGAAAATGTTCATTCTCTTGTAGACGTAACATAAGATTACAAGATAAGTAACATGCTAATCATTTACCACGTAACATAGGATGATACATTGTTCACACGACAATTATTTTTTTAAAGCGGAGAAATTTAGAAGAAAATCATCTTCACAATGAGTCATTTATTTAGCCTGTTTATACGAGACTTTTATTATACCAATCACACGGATCGCAAAATAATGTGAAAAGAACTCGACACCAACACCTGACGATTGACAAGTAACAATATTGAATACCAAACTTACATAACAGATAGATTTAAAAGTAAAATACGCAACGCATTGATCGGTGAAGATGTTTATTTGTTTATCATATCTAGTAGCCAGTACCTTCTACATTAATACAAATCGTATGGCAAATGTCAAAGAACATTCAGTCAATCAAGAAATTAACGTTTGGAAAGGGTACGGGGCTAGTGAAAACAATCATTACTCGTGAGAATAAGATGTTTTATTAGGCACAGATGTGCTTTCGACGCGAGACCGAATTAACATAAGATACGACTCAAGATAAGTAATAGTTGGATAATGTATCTACCGCGCCGCGGCTCTGTCTCTGATTTTATCTCACTTTGTGTTTGGATAATTTTAATAGTTACAATGCGATTGTATCAAATTGTTCACACGTTAAACTACGTTGAATAACACCATCAATCATTTTATTCAAAATCTTCAATGACTCAAAGATAACACAAGTATGAAGTTTAAGGAAAGGTCTACCAACAACATAAGTAAAGGTACATAAATATGTCACCGTTTACATAATAAGTGACACTTGAAATCATATGTGGTTGTCAACTCAAGCTTTGTAGTGAAGCTTTTTGTTGACTATGTATCGACATTCTGTGTCAAGAGGAAAACTAATACATTCTCAACATTTAGACGAAGGAAGTCTTCGGGAAATGCATTGTTATTACCTATGAAGTTTACATATCTAAGAATTGTGTCATGAGTGTGCATCTATGACTTAAGAATATGTTGTAAAGATGAAAATCTTTGCATCTAAGTAAATCTGCCTGTAAACTGTCAAAGATTCCTCAAAGTTCTTCAATGTTCATTTTACGCCGCTGGATCAAATTATAAACAGTAAGACAAAAAATTCATGTACTATATATTCATCATTCTTTCTCAGTAACTTTTACACGGTACTTACGCAAGCAATTGGTATTTTTATTGATACGCGCTTAAAATTACGAAAATGTTCATTCGTTGGTCTTATTAATGTTGATCTATTATAGGTATCAATCTATTTTGAGACTTCCTGTTTTACCGGTCTCTCGCTGTTTAGAAATATTGAAGATGAACTTATTTCATTAATGGGATAATAAAATTTAATAGATAGTTATGAACTCCACTTATGAGTAACCGACGAGTGAAAATTAGGTGTAAGGGCTACGTGATACTGATTATGTATTATCATATTAATACGTGATGCAAGAACTTTGTACCCTTTGTTGTTGATATTAAAAATGGAGAAATTAATGAAAACAATGAAGACGGTTAATTAAATATTACACACACAAATGATTGACAGAGAGTTTAGAAAAAGTAAATTTTTTTTTGGTTTATTCTCGACTCGCTTTTAAGACTACTGGATGTGCTGATGTACCTGACTACATTTAACACTGGTCAGATAGTCAGGTGATTCTATACAACCTAATAAGCGTTTAATCGGTCTCGATAACGTAACGTGGGACCATTTAACCAGTTTGTATTAGATAAAGCATCCAATACGGACGTCAGAATGTAGGTCGAATAGCCGGCCTAACTCGAATAAGCTTGGTAACTATTGGACCTGCAGTCTATTACTTCTATGTTGCGTTACTCATGTCTATGGGCCCTGTCACTTACACCTAGATCTACCTTCATTCTAGACTGCCGACCCGACCGTCTTTGCTCTTTAAAAAATCTACTATTTTCTTTCTCTTTAAAAAGTTACGATCGCGATTATTATGATTTGATTCTAAATTCGATGTATGCTAATAAGGTTAAGTTCTCTCCCTATTACATAAAACCATAAAATATAACTGACTGATCTCTACCGGGTTAGGTAGAGGTAAAAAGGTGACTAGGGAAGCAATATTAAGTATTTTACGTAAACAAAAGTGCTTGTTTTATTTAGTGAGAGTAGTGCTTGAAGATGGCCTTCGGATCCTAGATTGCAATGACCATGAATGAAGCATTAACCATCGCCAATATGTTCATAAGTGTTTGTAAATATTGCTAAATCTTTTGATTTAAGAAATAGATTTAATCGTCTGGCTTTATGGGTGTATCTGACTCATCGACCTAGTCAGAGGTAGACTGGGTTTTTCGCTATGGAAACTGGAAATGTTACCTCATTGTACCTATTTGTACCTACGATAGCATTAACACTCTTATTGTATTAATTATCTATTTTTATAGACTGCAACATGCATCTGACCATCTGTAAACCAATTGATGATAGTTTCGTAAGTTCTTAAACGGACCTTAAGCGGGAACCTAGCTGTCATCGATTAGGTACATGGACAGTAAAAGTTACGTCGCCTATTGTCGGCGTGACCGTGTGACCATAAAATTCAAATTTATTATCTCCACCTGTATAATTATTTGCTAAACTACGCTTTTGCCAAGTTACCACATACCTAGTCAACGATCAATATACATAATTTAATACGCATGTACGTCTATTTAAACATTGGTTGCGAAATTACGTCTTTTTTTTATTTTCGGGAATCGGTTTTCACCAATACGTAATTGAAATTAAATGTTTGTGCGAATTGCCTAATTTTCACGTTTGAATACGAATTTAAAAAGACATATATATATTTCTAACATTGAGATTAGTGTGTCGAAAGACCTCAGAGTAAATAAAATAGTGAATGTTACGATGTTCGTCAAAAGGTGATAATTACGTCAGGTAACAATTTATTTGTCAAGTTGTTTGTCATGTGCAATTAAAGTGAATGAGGGGACATCAGTTGAAACTTACTTGTGTTGATAAACAAAAGACCTTTAAACTAACAAGCAATTAATTTTATGACACTGTCGTAAATCAACGCTTTACAAACTAATCTTTGGAACAAGTTGAAAACGGAAATTATAAACTTTAGTTAATGGCGGAATAATTAATTATCTCTTAAGTGGTAGTGGCCCTTCACCTTAGTGTATTTTCATGGTTGCATTATGTTCGTTTTTATACATAAATCTAGGTATATAAAATGAATTGGAACCCGATAAACTAAATTTCTACATAAATATATTTCAGACTTTCCATGCATGAATTTCACCCACGCCATATGAAGCATAACCTATTTAATGTCCAATACCATTAAAATGTTCTTTTAAATAAAACATTATGTCTTAAAACATTACGCGAAGCTAAATATATAGGCATTTAGAAGAAAGCGTCTTAGGTTTTAACTTGTACTTAAAGTTCGGCATTCAGAGTTCATTCACCTTGGAGTACAGAATGAATTTTTAACCAAATGAAAGCTCTTGAATACCAATATTTTAATTTATTGTTTCACTTATCTAAATCAATATAGAGCAAGAAATAAAGAATTGTTGTGTGAATTATTATGTTAACATATTCATTTGTAACATTTCAATAGAAGAAATATAATAGAATTTAAACGAATTCATGTTTATTTATCTAACGGCATAGGTACCCAAATTGTGCAAAAAATTAAAATTCGACTTAACGTTAATTCATTCAAAATTCAAATTAAATGATGTCAGATATCACTCATGTGTAGAGATGAAACCTTTGATGTCGCTGTTATTCATAATTAAACGGAGATTATGACTCATAAGTAGTAATCATGTATTTCTAAACAGCCATAAAATAGCACATAGGTATTTAAATTCTGCCGTAAAATGTATGAAAGTGGATTTGTGAACTTACCACATCGCTGAATGGTGAGATCAAGTTGCTGATGTTGAACGCTAGGGCTTCGGTCACCAGCAGCAGATGGACCACAGCCAACCACATCGTGGTAACATCACGTAACACTACCACCACACAACACTGCCACTACACCCGATTTTATTACAATTTAATTAAACATTCATGCTTGCATTTTTTTAATAAGATGAAAAAATCTAATCAACAAAATTCCATTTTTAAAATTTATTAGACCATAAATAAAATTATAGATGTGAGTTTTACTTTTTTTTATTTTGTTTTTCGTACGCGTCTGGACGCGTGCGGAGTTTGGCGGGAAAATGTGGGCGCATGCGCGGCGGCGCACCGCGCGCCTCATATTGCACAATAGATAAAACGTGAGGCCGACCTTAGAACTTGTCCCCTACAAGGCAGAAGTTCGCCGAGGATATCGCAAGGGTTGTCTAATGTAGAGCACCTGTGGTAGGGAGAATCTGTTAGTGTTTCACTTGTCTATGGAAATTAGGTAATTAGATCTAAGTTTGTTACAGTTTATTTCGAAGTCTACGAACTTACTGATGATATTCACGGAGCAAATCAAATACAAATAAGTATTCCAATTATAATTCATTGATGCTGAATAATAAAATAAGCTTATTTAACTGGTAAGAATATTTTGTTCAGGTAGGTACCTATGCTTAGGTAAACAATAATTTTCAGGACATTTCCTCACTTAAAACTGCCTTCGATTTAGGTAGATGCAACTTAATGCTTGTTGTTGGGTATTTGACGAAGGTAATCAACATTTTCATGTAAGCTTTACACACACAAACCTAATTAGCTAATATTAACTATTTAGGCTGTCTAGTGATTGCTAGTGAAAGGAAGAATTTGTAAGTAATAAATGATTAGGCTGGTATGACTACCTACTTACAATTCTAGCCTACTTGATCACTGCAAGGTTCTCAACTTTTTGTAGGAATTTTTTAGACAAGGTTTTTGCACAATTTCTAGGTAATCCATGCGTGTAATGCGTGTAGCATACGATCTAACAAGACAGCTGCAGCTGCATTCATCTTAGGATTTTTTTAAGGGGGTAATTCATCGAATGACTGCTTCCATCTCACTGACTAAAACCACCCCGTTCCTTCTCCTGCACTTCGAGCCGGAGCCCCGGTAACCCGTTAGGTTCTCCGCGACATTCATCTTAGGACTAATATGAAATTAAGTACAGAATTTAATTAGACAAAGTAAACATAATATAAGTACGATGTAATAATAATGTTTTATTATTGTACAACAACAGACAGGCTTTCCGGTCACACGGCTTTAAAAAAATTAAGTACTGCCAATGAAATTCGCAAGTACCAATGAGAATAGAGAGCGGAAATTAAAAATGTAACTAAAACGATGTGAATAATATCCCTAATTAGTCTTGTCAATTACGTATATTATTATAGCCCATGTACCTAATTTACATGAAAGTGAAAATTTTGTTACATTAATTTCTCTAGTAATTAGATAACTCGTTGAAAATACTTATAAGTTCGTGAAACCTCCTTGGGTCTTATTTTTTATTTTTATTATTATTTTTTTTATTTATTTATTTATATCAGGCAACGAAGGCCCATATTAAAATACAATAATACTTATCTATTACAATTTCAACTTAAAATACTATAACTACATAATGTAAGTAATCTTAGCAAGGTAATGTAGAATTCTTTTTTTCATTTGTATCTTGACGCTTATTATTAAAGGAGGTGGTATTTAATTTACCTATTTGCGAGGTATACCTATTAGCCTATTACATAATCCTATTTGGCAGTTGTTGCATCATTATTGAGAAAAATGCAAAAAATAGGAACATACTTTTTATACATAAGTAAGACAGGAGGTTTCAAACATGCACCCACTTCATCAACTACAATATTTGCATGTATGTACCTACTTTGTTCAAAATTTATGGGAGCGCACAATTATCCATTATACGCGCTCTAGTATTACTTACTAACAATTTCGTATTATTAGGTGTAAAATAGTAAGTTAACAGTGAGCGCGAAACCAGTTCGAAATTCAAATATAATCATGGATTACTTGAGCCCTGAGCCAACCAGCCAGTCTGTAATTCTACACTAAGCCTACTTATGTCTATGGTTTCCGTGCATAAATAGATCCCTCGGAAAAAGGATGGCTTTCCGTGTTTGCAGAAGGCGGTCTGGGATATTTATTTTCGAAATTACTAGGTAACACGGGATAAGTCGCTGGTTAGTTATTCAAAAAATAGGAGGTCCATGTCTTGGTGGATAATTCTGTAATCATAACATGTGAAACTCAAGAATAATGCTTCATTCAAGCGAAGCCGGACATATCACGGATTCTTGTGTATCTATTAGTTAACCTAATCAATCTGTGGATCATTTAATTGATTACTTGCATCATTAGAATTTACATTTCATTATACTTAAGTAGGTGATGAAAGTTAGACATTTTTATTCTAAAACTTGGCCATGAAACTAACGTCATATTCGCTTGCTCCATTAACCGGAGCTACTTTGGGAAATTTCCATTGAGTCAGACTAATCCAATCTAATCGACATCGATGACGCTATTTTTCCAAAAAAAAATTCGCAATAGCGGATTTTCAGGGTATACCTAAGTAATGGAGTACAAATATTTCTTAGCATGCATGAAATCTGAAACTCTCCCAGTAATATAATTAAGGTGTAGGTACAACAATTTATTATAGGACTAAAAATAAGCTATTAAAGTGGTTTCAAGAAATCGGTGCTGAAATCATAATCCTAATGCATGTATTGAAATTCCTACTAATGTGATTAAGTGTGTTTTCACGAAATAAAAAATACGAGAGATAAGAAAATTACGTGATGTAAAAAGTAGAGCTAAAGAGGCAAATATAAGTATTTCGCGATATTCAAAAAACAAGTTAACATTAGAAAGTTCAAAGCCACTTCCTTTTCTTTACCCAACTAATTACTGATGTCTACTCGCCTAGGACTATTGACACGACATCGACATGACGAAATCATATATTTTGAGGTTTTTGGCAAACTACGAGCAACCAGCTTACATAGACATCGACACATGGTAATTATTTCCGCTGCGTTAGATAAAATGTTGTTGCCCAATCAAATTGAATACACGGATTTTTGTAAACACGTATTAAAAATGTCTGTCCATAAATTACTCTGTCAATTTTTAACAATAAACAAATTGAATGCTAAGCTGGCAGGCAATAAATTTGTATTACGTGTTTGGTCAACGGGTAGGCTGACTATGATAACGCCTATAGATCGTCGCAATACATGCGTTAATAGTAGTATAAAATGTAAGTATGGAAAGCGCACGATACATTTTTGAATAAAGTATTATGCCCTTTAACTTATAACATCGCAGCTTTTAATCTAAAGAGGAATAGGCAGAAGTTGCATATACATACACGTATTCAGTATAACATCCACTGTTCGAAAGATATATTTTGAATGAGTTCAATATGATAAGAGTCAAGCTTATTGCCATATACCAAGCACAATTATCAACTCAAGTGAAGTGGAGTGTCTAATGTGCTGTCATCTGTACCTACAATGTATGTACCTCTGTTTTCTTATGAAACCACTAAATATTCTACCAAAAATGCCGTGTGTACCAACACTGAATCACAAGAGTGTCACACTTTATATCTGTCTTGATCGCAGCACGTGCAGTACGTGCATTGACTCACCAAATATTTGTCTAAACTAGGACGTGTAACCATTTCATTGTAAGGAAAATTCTTGGAGGCAATAAAGTAGGTGAGCCTTCTTGCAAATAATAAGACGTCCACCTAATAATGTAATCAGATTTATTTATGAAAGAATATGTAGTAATTCTTTTCCAGAGAAAATAAGTACTTATGTTTTTAATAGTGATGTAGGATATAGAAATTGACAAGCTCGCTAAGGTTTTTAGGTATTGCACTAGGACAATACCTAAACTACATTGGTTAGAGGCGCCCCTAATCAGCCATAAATTGACATCAGCTCATTTCTGATGCTACTTCTTCGACGTCTATAAATATTTAAAAGAAGAAACCAATTTATATAGGGTTGATGTTTAGCATACCGGATAACAGTGCTCGGTGAGCTCGGTCAAGTCATGTCGAGGACATTATGCGGATGGGTGTACGTTATGCAAACATTATGTCACTTAACGGATTTATGGTCGCCTTTACAACTAACTCAGGCACTAGTTTGCATACTTTATTTAATGACACGATTGAGGCGACATGGTTGAGTCATTCCCTGTATTCGACGATTCAGTTTTAATTTATGTCCTACAAAAAAATTCTACCTCTGCTGCTAATAATTTAGTTCTGGGTCTACATAAAAGTTGGTGCATTGATGGATGCATTTAAAACAGTTGTAATATTATAACTTACTTCCCTTTCAACGCATATGCGTTCGTAACACGGATCCTATACAAGGAATGTAAAAGTTATGATTGTTGGGCCTTCTGCATACCAAGCCCTTTTCATGCACTGTCCATGATGAGGCCAATGGCACTCGTTAGTAGATGGCCTAACATTTTACACATAAAGAAATAGATAAATGCATCCTATCCTTATAGTAGAGTTTAACTAAATAGATATTAGATGTTACCTTAGACTAAAAATTATGAACTGGTAAGTTATGAAGAAAAAAATTGAATCATAATAAGAAAAAATCCGCCGTCCAACAATTAATATAATTTCCTGCAATAGTAACTGGATTCCGAATGAGAAAAAGGGCATTTAATGACAAACAACGGTCGTGGCAGTAATTAATACATGACATAAGTGTTCCATCGATCAGTTTCGCAATATATTACGCCATTAGAAAGCAGCTGCCACGCTGGACAAGGTTCCTAGTGGCATACCTTTAAAAGACCTAAAGAGTTTGCACAGAGACGCATTCAATTACATGAAAAAAAAATTAACAACATTGTTGAAAAGTAGTTCTGTCTATGGACGTGATAGGTATTATGTGGACTGAGGAGAGACCTTGAAAATATATGCATATACACGTGTTTGCCTGTGAAAAAGTCCATTCAAAAGCATCAAGGATGTAAGTCGTTGAAGACTTAACTTTCGAAATAAAATCAATTTTTGATTTATTCACATTTCGTGCAAATCAATTAAAATGCTAAATTAAATTAAGTAAATAGTTATAAAGCTTGCTCAACAATCAAATTGCAAGGCATTGAAGATGAACATTTAAATTACCTATTTGAATAATAATAACAGCTTTAAGATTTCATAAGTCACAATCGCAAAAGATCACATACGAATAATTGTGAAATGAATTGATATTATCAAATTATGAACTGGTGTCAAAAGGGCAACCATCCAATTACATAATTAGCGAATCAGACGCGTAATGATAAATGACATTATTACGATTCTAAGTAGTGATAGTTAATGTAATTTGTTAGACAAAAAGTATTTTCAAATTTTGTTTAGCATTTTATTAGATAGGTATACAAATGTTGTATGTTGGTATTAAACATTGCTTTCGATCGCTTACAAAGTCATATTAATGTTGATAAGGCGAATGACACTAATGAAAACTATTTACGATAAGTAGGTTGGCACAGTAGCTGGCAATCGGCTGCTATGCATCAGCATCATGGCAACGGATTCGATTCCCGCAGGGAACAACTCTTAACTCTTATGATCTATATCAACACTTTTTAGACCAAAGAAACTATTTAAAGACAGTGTTTTACTTTAGTCCCTAATATACCTATCTACTTTAGTCACGCTACCGTACCAGTAATAGTGTCCTCCAGCCTTCCCTGACTCGTCGGTTAACATTCGCGCCACGGCCTTGCGTGTGAAGAATCCACGCATTCATTTTGTTCGGAAATCATTTGACATATCTAGGTTACATGTGGTTCATTATTTGATTTTTGTTACAAAATTTCAGACAGAAAGGATAATGGTAGGTAGGTACTTCCTCTTACCGTCCGTCAACTATTGCGAATCCAAACCCACACCACTTTGATGATGGATTACAGATTGCAGCGCTGACACAGACAACTCAAAAATTAAGTATATCTGCGCATCATGATAGTCCGTACTTGTTTACATGTATTTTTTAAAACCCTGTCCCCTCACTAGGATTTTCTCCTGTTCTGGGTGTTTTTACCTGTTTTAACCTACAATAGGTACACTCAACAACTAATTATTATTACTGTGAATCACACAAACAGTTATTCCGTACTGGAATCGAACCTACGACACGTAGCACAGCAGATGGTTGCCCAGCCACTGCGCTAACCGTGTAAGTAGTAGATGATCATAAAGTTTGAAAAGGAAATGCAAAAGTAATAGATGTGTGTGTGCTGATACGAAATACAACAAGCCCTAAAACCTTTTAAATAAAGTACCTACCAAAGTACTCTCATCAATGGTTGTTATATGTTACTCGGGTGATTCGTAGGTATTGTCGGCAATGTATTTTTCTGGCCACTCCTCAGATCAATACAGGAGTTGTCATTGCATTGTAACGAAATTGTACTCCACACCGCATACTGTCGTTCAACATTTCACACAAGTTCACACAACTAACAACGTATAATATTTTTATTTCCATTTTTTCGCTCTTCATAGCTTACTTAAATAAACCGTTTCGTAGTAAGAGTTTCCGAACTGAAAAGAATGACGTCAACTGTCATTGTTAAGATGTGTCATAGATGCTAATGTCATTATTGTCATTGGTGTCTTATATTTTTCATAGAATTTTCAGTTTTCTAAGCTAAATAACGTATAAAATGGCTTATTTAACTCAGCCAGACTACGTAAAGTATATATGTTCCTGCGGACAACTAAAACCTATTACTAGTTTATATTTCTGTCGGCATTGCTTAAAAATACGTTGCGGTTTCTGCATTTGTCATGAGGTAACCCACTTTTTTATGTTTTACTGCATAAATATTTATAAAATTTGCAAATTCAGATTGGGCCTATGATTAACACATCTGGGTTAACATATATTAAACATGACATAAGTATAAAACTAGAAGAATTATTAAAATTAATTCTGTTGTTTTTAGTCTAGACACACCTTGTTTTATCTTTATTTAGATCAGGAATATGTAATTATTTTGTAATAACTTGATGTTGACAGAAAGCTCTGGTTGTAGTTGTTTGGATATGAAACAAAAATAATGTTTTGTCTATTTGTTAAAAGTGAATTATACATGAAAACTTATTGTCATTGATTCACATCCGACTCAATTTCTGAAAAATAAAATTTGCATTTTGTGAGCTTGAGAAACTGAAACTGATACTAAAGAATTAATAATCTTTTAACATTTTTAATATTTTTTTATTTTAAAAGACTTCATGCACACACTAATGTACAAGGTGGGCTTAATGCCTAGGGCATTCTCCTCCAGCCAGACCTGTGGGTGATGCAGAGACAAAAACAATGGTCGATGCAAGAAGCAAGCGTATTTAAAACTCAACAGAAATACATAGAAAAACGGATAGTATAGACTTACATAAAATAAATCCCTATATAAACTTACATGTATATGTCATAACAATGAACTTACACAATTATATTACATATACTACTTAGACGTAACATAATTATACATAGTATATTGATAGTTACGATTCTGCCAACCTCCTCAAAAGTAGCTCCCGCATTAATACAATCCTATAAGAATCTTATAAGCTTCACTAGGAATTCAAAGCCCTACAAAAGCTTACTAAATTGTTATATCAAGAAAACCTACTAAGACTAACATTCTGTCTCAGGTGGACTCGCACTACTGTGCTAACTGCTTGGAGAACATGCCATCATCAGAAGCTCGACTCAAGAAGAACAGATGCAGCAGTTGTTTTGACTGTCCCAGCTGTTTCCACACATTGTCCACTCGGGCTACAATGGCTCAGCCTCGGCAGGTCGTGCAGGACCCTGCAGCAGGTGGAGACACCAAGGTTGAAAGCAAGCAGCCCAAGAAAATGTACTACTTGTCCTGCTTCAACTGCAGGTGGACTTCCAGAGATGTTGGAATACCAGATCAGCCTGTTGGTAAGTTATTAATAATACTTATAAATTTTACTAAAACTATGCTGCATTTTGCTTTTGTGTTTAAATCTTATAAGTTTTCAGCATTTTCTTAAAATTGTGATGAAAATCATGTTGTGTTTGTTTGACGTTCTCAACTAATTTGAATCAATTTACAATTACTATTTACAATAAAACTTGAAGCATAATGTGTAAATATTTGTCCAGCGTCAGGTGGTTGGCCGGAGCGTACGAATCCGCATGCAGCGCGCGTCAACCAACTGCTGGAATATTACAAGGCTATCGCACTGCAGGAGAAACAAGAGAAGATTGAAAGAGAGAGAAAGAAATTCAACATTAGAGGGAAATATATCACTCTTACTGTAAGTTGACAACAGTATTTTAAAATAATATAGTAGTTTGTACTGTAAAGTACTTATGTTCATTGTGCACTGTGCAAGCATTTCACCGGTTATGTTATATTTCCATAAATAGAAGCTAAGGTTATTGCCACACAGCAATTAGTATTAGTTTGTTTTTGTATAACACAGTAATTTATTATATGTGAACTGAACTGTATAATTCATTATTTATAATTTAATTATTTTCCAGGTTCAATACTCTACTATTATTTTATATATTTATAATAAGTTAATAACTAAAGAAACCCATATAAAAAGCAATGACGGTGCAATATTCTGTCTTTATAGGACAAGACAGGTTTGACGGGTGCGATGGCACGCAACATAGCCGGCCTGCCGTCGAGTGAGAGCTCGTCGTCGGCCATCGCGAGCTTCGTGCCCAGTCAGGCCAAGGAAGAGGTTGAGGAGTTACCTGAGGATATATTCACCAAGGAGGTCAATCTGAATCAGAGTTAGTATTCCATTGTTCGTTAACTACGTTTTTTATGAATGGGTGAATGAATTTTTTGTAGGATGAAATAGCAGACGGATCACCGGATCGTAAATTTACCCTTGTGGGTAACGGCATCCGATAACATGACCCACACTGCACACACTAAAGCTAAACACAACGTGAGCATTGATTCACGCCGGTTTCCTAAGAAGTCGTGCTGAAGTTTGTCTCTCCCATTTGGAGCATAGCTCTCCCATTTTGGGTATGTTATGTGTACAAAGTAAAGTTTTTTTTTGTTTATATGAAATTTATATGAAATTACAATCTAGCTTTAATGCTAATAAGTAATTCAAATTTGTCTTAATTTGCTAGGAAAGTATAACTAAGAATGTGTCCATTAACACTTTTCTTATTGTCTCTATTAAGGGGAAAACACTTTGTTATTGTGTTCTTTGCTCACTCACTATGTTAACTCAAAAGATTTTGTCCTTTTTAGCCTTCTCACTATGTCCGTGATGTCGAGGAGCTGGATAGCCTCGATGTTCACATGGTGGTGAAGCCTTCGCTCATGGGCTTCTGCACACTTTTTAATTATATCTATGACGAGGTCTACTTTGAGGTCCCGATGAAGGTCGTCATTTCGAATGTACCAGGGCGCATTGACGATTCCTCTGAGTACTCTGTTTTGAAAACGCTATATAATTTCGATATTGCTTTGTTTGGTACAGCCCCAAAGCTGAATACCATAAGTCCATACAGGCATGAGGACTTGTTTATATAAAAGAACTTTGTTGTGCACTGACAGCGAAGAATTTTTCCTATCAGCCAGTACATCGACTTGTAGCGTAGATCTAGCTCGTCGCGTTTCTTTTTGACATGAACTTTCCAGCGAAGCTTTACGTCTAATGTCAGGTCGAGGTATTTGGCTGTATTTTCGTATGGTATTACATGGCCATTTATGTTTACCGGGTGGTAATTTGTCCTTTTGTTTGTGAAGTCTATGTGAACAGATTTTGATTCATTTAGTTTCACACGCCATTTTTTTGTCCAGTCAAAAATGATATTGACGGCTGTTTGAACTTTTTTTTTTGAGTGGCACCTGTGGCCTTAATAGCTGTGTCGTCCGCAAATGTGACAATGGTATTGTTTTCTAACTCAGGAATATTGCAAGTGTACAATAAGTACAAGACGGGACCTAGGAAACTTCCTTGCGGTACTCCAGCTTTTATTGGTTTGAGTCCTGAATATGCATCATCATGTCTTACTCTAAACATACGCTGTGATAGATAAGACTCTAAGATGTCAGCAAATTGCTTAGGAAGCATGTTTTTTAATTTGTAAATAAGGCCTTTGTGCCATACCTTGTCGAATGCTTGCGCTACGTCCAGGAAGATCGTGGAGCAAACTTTTTTTCTTCTAGAGCCTTTTCAATAATGTTGGTAATCCTGTGTACTTGATCTATAGTCGAATGTTTTTCCCTAAAACCAAATTGGTAGGGTAGGTCAGGGATCAAATTCCTTTCTTCTATGATGGGTTTTAGTCTTTTTAAAAGAAGCTTTTTAAATAATTTTGACACAAAAAGTAAAGTAAAACAAATTAATATAAGAGGTTTTATTTAAACTATTTGAATAGTCAAAAATGTTGTTTTCTAATTATAGTAACGAGCATGCCCCAGCGCCTGGCGTCCCCCGAGTGGCAGCCGTCGTCGGTGTCCCGGCTGCACCCGCTGGCCAAGTTGCTGAGCGTCAAGCGCAGTCAGCGCTGCCGGGCCTGCGACCATAACCTCACCAAGCCGGAGTACAACCCTGGATCTATCAAGTTCAAGATTGAACTACTGGCATAGTAAGTCTACTGAAATTTACATATTATTAAGTGCCAGGTTCATGAAAACTTAAAGTTTTGTACTGTTATATTTACCTAAACACTGCAGTAAGTTTCGTAATTGGAAAGGTTCAAGTTTGTAATTAAACTGCTAGCCTAGTTAGTTCAGGAAACTTTAAACACGTTCTTTTGCGACGATATATTAACTTCCAGTTTCTCTGACTTAATATTTCAGTTAAGAATGTAGAACAAGGCAATTTCCTCACGAGTAAACTTGTAAAAATAAATTATGAAACCCGTAAATTAAATAAAATAGCAACAAAAACCCAAAAACTTTAATGAAAAACCTTTAAACTTCCAGCTACCATGTACCAGAAGTAAAGATAATCTCCCATGAGCCCGTCAAACCAGGTGGCAAGTCAGCCCTGCTTCTAAAGCTGACCAACCCGACTGGACATGAGATGCAGCTGCGACTGCTGCAGCCCGAGGATATTCCACCTCCTGAGGAGAAGGAGGAACCCAAGAGTATCGAGAAGTCGCTCGAACGATCACTTAACTTAGAGAAGGTGAGTTCTGGAGATAGATTTAGAATTTGGTAAATAAAGAACTTTAACACAATAGCATAAAGTTGAAACTAGAAAATCTGTTCAAGTAATTTGAAAGAGTTTGATTTAAGTACTAGTTTCTGTAACGGAACATATAATTAAAATATAAAGAAGTGTTATAATGTTCTTTTCACTGAGGTCCCAAGAGAGTAACTAAGTTATACGTAAAACAAATAAATAACATGTTGTATTGAAATATAATACAATTATGTAATAGTAGTAGTTAGTGGATTAATTAAGTGTGGGAGAGCCATGCTTCGGCACAAATGGGCCGGCTCGACCGGAGTGATACCACGGCCTCACAGAAAACCGACGTGAAGCAACGCTTGCATTGTGTTTCGTCGTGTGAGTGAGGTTACCGGAGGCCCAATTACCCTCCCCTTCCCCAATCTCCGAAATTCCTGAATCCCCAACGATCCTCAAATTCCTAACGGGTAACCGGGGCTCCGGCTCGACGTGCAGGAGAAGGAACGGGGTGGTTTTTAGTCAGTAAGAGTCTGACACTCCCTTCCGCCTCACCCAGGCGGGAGCAGTCATTCGATGATTTTCCCCTCTTAAAAAAAAAACCTCCAAAAGGCCGGTAACGCACTTTGAACGCCTCTGGTGTTCCAGGTGTCTATGGGTGACGCCGATTGCTTACCATCAGGTTACCTACATAAAAACTTTTTATCCACAAATTAGTTTTCAACACTACTGAAAGGTGGAAATCTCCCTTGAGACTAATGTTTATGATGCCCCCAGGACACGAGCTCCCTGAAGCCGATGGAGGTGGTATGTCCGCCGGCGGCCACGAGCCGCGTGCGCGCGCCGGACGCGACGCTGACGCTGGCGCAGCGCGACGACGCCGCCGAGTACGACGACGACGCGCAACATGATACTAACGAGTGAGTACATACAGTATGTCCGCGGCCGGCCACGAGCCGCGTGCGCGCGCCGGACGCGACGCTGACGCTGGCGCAGCGCGACGACGCCGCCGAGTACGACGACGACGCGCAACATGATACTAACGAGTGAGTACATACAGTATGTCCGCGGCCGGCCACGAGCCGCGTGCGCGCGCCGGACGCGACGCTGACGCTGGCGCAGCGCGACGACGCCGCCGAGTACGACGACGACGCGCAACATGATACTAACGAGTGAGTACATACTCAGTATACTCGTGGCCAGGGACTCTCTGATGCAACATTTTAATATTAAATACTATGGATTTGGGATCCTTTACTAGTTACAAAATGTTTTTAGATAGATAAGTTTGGGTTACGATGGGGTTGACATAGACTGTTGGAGTGTTGGTTAAAAGCCCCTAAAAGAAAATATTTTTACTGTCTCCTCATTTTTCATCAGTAAATAACGACCCCATAACTCCAATTGATATTGATGATCCGCTTACAAGAATAAATAAAAAAATCTAATAAAAATACATTCAACTGCCATAATTCTATGTATTAATGACCCCTTTCTAAACGACTTCAAAAAAGGAAGGTTCTCAGTTTGACGTGTTTGTTGTGCGCGATTATCTCGCGATTGGCTGAACCGATTTTGATGCATTTTTCAGAAAAGTGTTTGTTACATTCAGGAAAAGGTTTTAATCATCCGATTTTTAAAAGTGAAGGTTAATGTCTGTTTTTTTTAAACGTAGATTACTTGTCTGTTTATAATTATAATTAGGTACTAATTTCGATGTGCCTTTTGGTAAGCGCATCTATCCACTCAAACGTCCGGGCGAACATGGTCACCCAAAATTTTTGGCATTAGATGACAGCTGTCTGCCTTGTTTAAATTTTTTACTTTATCTGGTGAAAGTTTGTTGTAGGTCTCAACTACCATAATTTAACAACGTACCTAGATACTTAATAAGTCAGAGGGGTGGTTAACCCTTGTTTTTTGTAAACTAATATCGACAATAAAGCAAATAACTGATATTTAAAATCGTTCCATCGCATCATTAAAGTAACCCTTCTTATAAATTGCTTTAAATTAGTTTTATATTCATGAGCTCGCGTGTGGAACTTTTCAATAAAAGACGAGAATGCGCCTAGAACTATTCAGACGTTGTTATATTTTGGACGTGGTTGCACATACGAATTTGATACATAACATTGTCTAGTTTTATAAATTGGGCCAATAGTGATAATAACGTGTGGTTTCGACCTTATATTACGCTAAAAAAGATAACATACCATTCCACCAAGCACCAAGTCTTAGTTTTTATTAAAACACGTGTAGTGTGTAACTGAAATCACAATTTATATTTACTGTCTTGAATAGAATTCTTTAGGACTTAAATATTGAAAGTAACTATAAATATTAAACTATGGCAACAGATGTCCAAGAAGGGGTTATCACTAAAGACAATCGGTAACTATAATTTTACCAAAGAAAAAAGAAAGTTAATTTCATTTAATGTCGTCTGTCGTTTACATGTCCATTCACTTTGGAAACTCGTTTTTTTTTTCTTCTCTTGTAATATCTTCTGTTTCACTTGGTTGCGGGAACCAAGACAGTTATTCATGTACCTGGGACGCGCCGGACTTCAGTGTTTCGGCGTTTTCATGGTTGTATCTACTGTAGATCCTGGCTTATAGGAGTTGCAGCGGTTTTGGGAGTTGGTGGCGGACTTGTCCCTAAAAAAAATGTCCATTCACTTCACAGTTTGACAGTGCAGTGAAATGGTGGCGAAGTTCAATTCCCTAATTTGTTGGAAGTTGTAAATGTTTGTCAGTGATATAATATTTTGTTACAGCATAATAATGTGGCGTAAGTCGAACAAGTTAGCCCTTCGACTGGAAGTGGAGACCGCGGAGGGCGCGGCGGGCGGGGCGGCGGCGGCGGCGCTGGTGGCGCTGCAGTACTCGTACCGCAACACCGTGCCGCCCGCCGCCGCCGCCGCGCAGCCGCGGGACCATACTCTGTACACCACCGTCTTACTCGACCTGGGCACCGTCAGCTCCAACTAGTACGCAGATCTCATCGGTCAGATTATTTCCCCTAGAAAAATGGTATAAACGCTATCTAGTATAAGCATCATCATTGTCTAATGGACTGATCAGTTAGTTGATACAAATCAAAATATGAATATTTATGTTTTATTCCTAGAGCTCTCTTATTTACTAACAGAAAGAACATATTAAATTCTTTGTGAAAACAAAACTCACATATATTGATATGATAAAATATTATTTATAGTAATAAAGATGCAATAACAATGCTCCTGTGATCAACGACTAGAAAAATGCACGATTAACGAGTGCCCATTCTTCTTTCATTTGTGTGAGGCCTTGATTTATTAATAGAAAACATTTTAAGTTGATGGTGTGATATTGCTTATTAAAATATGGTAGGTACTCGTGACTTTCTAGTCACACACTATATCAATTTCCTTTTCTTCTAATATGTATTTTTATAACCGAATTACTTTGATGTTCGAATTTAAGTTTAATTTATTTGCACCAGATAAAACTCAATGTGTTTTCTTTTATCTTAACAGTTCAAGATAATTTGGAAAAATTACTATGACACAAATAGGTCATCTGAAGTCGGAAATAATAAATAACTAATAACTCAATTATCTATGTTGTATGTGAGAAAGAGAATAATTTGTAAATTATAATATTTGCTTCTGACGTTACTGAAAACGAAATATTATGGCTTCCAGTTTTACAAAAACGAAAGTTTGCGTTAGTCTATCACATTCTTGACCCAGTATCTTAAGATCAAACGAGATTAGTACTTAAGATGTTACTAAAACATATAAAAATATCAGCAGCACTAGCTAGAAGTTACAAATATACCAATTACTAAACGAATGTATATTTTGTAAGATAATATCGAATATTTTATATTGTACATGCATAGAGCAGCTAGGAACAGTCACATGTGCCTAAACATTAACTTAGCTTGTTATTTTTACTTTTAAAAGTGTCGCCCATGTTAGGGATTCTCCTAAAATGGGTGTGAAATGAAATTATTCGTGAAATTCCATGAACTTGGATATTTTAGTTAGCTATTTATTTTTATAGGCTTTATTAAGAGGTAAGATATTATTTTAGAATAAGATGTTCTCACTACTTAATATCTGTGCATATAACCATTAGCTTGAAGTTTGCACGTTTTATACATACTGCTACAAGTATTATAACATGTTTGCTGAAATAAAATATTTTCAACATTACTTTCGTTTTTTTTTCTTATACTATCATTATTCGAAACCATTTTATGCATAATTGGAAAATTTGTTAGCCCTATCTTATTATATTTTTGTTTATTAGTTTTCATCTAATTTTCAGACATGGACAATGTTTTTTGGGAGACATTTAAAGAAAGTCTTTAACTGAGTTAACAGTTTGAATATTTTTACTATTTCTTTTTATAAATTAATACAAAAAATAACTAGAGACTTCAGTAAGAATATAGATTTTATAAAAAAAATATTACAAAAAATTTATGTTGACTGTTGTATTTATTACCTGCACAGATTCATATTTGCTAAGATACCTTCCCGAATAGCTGACTTAACCCTGTAGACATGGATTTTCTTCAACCTGTTGCTTAGCTGAATATATGACATCATTTATACCTACACCATCGTAACTACACCCAACCAGAGATATTGGTAAATTGTTTGAGGCAATGTACTCCCTAATCTTTGCCACTCTCTCATAGTGTCCTATCACATACTGAGGTATACATTGTTTCAGAATGTTCACATGATAAGCAGTAGGATCAATTTTTATATCCAATATCTTCACAATTTCCTTCAAAGCCACTTCTAACAACATCTTCTCAGTAGCATTTTCTCCAAACTTTTCCTTATACCATTTACCACCAAGCATGACAGTCAACACTGTTCCCTTTTGATCAGGTATACAACAAGAATCAAACACTACCCCAAGGATAGGAGAGTTCTCAATTGGTGGCACGAGGAATCCAAATGCAGGTTGAATAAGAGGTTCATCTTTGTCGAAATATAAATTGACAATGCCTACAGTAACGAATGGAATGTCGCTTAGTGTCTGAGCCAATCTAGGATGTTGCTTCTTCACTAAATTAGCAAGAGCATAAGCCGGTATAGATGAGTAGACGTGATTGGCTGTGTGAGTTTCTCCATTAGCTTGCTTCAGTACCACAGAACTTGAATCTACAAACTCAATTTCATTAACTTTTGTGTTAAGACTGACATTCACATTGTTTTCAATCAAATGGTTCTGTAAAGTATCTGGAAATGTTTCCAAGCCGCCCTTGATAGTGTAAACATTCCATTTTTCTTCTTGCGCCTTTTTTGCAAGCTCACTAAGGTCAAGATCAGTATCAGATTTTGGTTTTAAAAAGGACTTGAATAAGCCTTTGATTACTCCGCCATGATTTTGTTCATATTCAAATAATGTTTTCATCAAGAACTTAACAGATATTTCCTTCGCATCACCAGCACAAATCCCGCATATCATTGGAGATATAGCATAGTCAGCAATTTCTTTACCAAAACGTCTTTCTACAAAATTATATATAGAATCGTCCGGTAATATTTTGTATGGGGATTTAATATCGTTGAACAGAGCGTAAATTAAAGGTTTGGAAAATGGCTGGCTCTTCGTGAAGACACTCATTAAATTCGAAGGTAGAGTATGTAAGTTGTTACGAACATATATCATTCTGATATTAGCCGCCGGGTGGTCCGATTTGATAGGCGCAATGTGCTCGCTGAGACCAAGATCTTGCATCATGTTCAAGGTATTCAATCCAGTTAGTCCTTTAGGCCTAATAGTTCTTGGCCCTTGTTCAAACACGTAGTCTTTAGTTCGGATAGATTTGATCCATCCACCGCAGTAGTTTGTCGCTTCTAAGAGAAATAACTTTAGATTGTTATTGCTATTCATATTATTTTTAAGTAAATAGTAACCAGTAGACAGGCCTCCTAAGCCGCCACCCAGAATAGCAGTCATGGCTCACTTATTAATTTTAATTTTCTATTTTAACAAAATTAATATCTTCACACTGCGGCGATTTGTTTGTTTTGACATTTGCTTGTCATTCTGACTTGATACTTGATGACAATGACAAATCAAAACAGCTGAGAACACGGAAACGGAAAACACTATTTTTAATTAAAAACACTTTAAGAATTATGTAACTGAGTATTACACACTGGTATTACAATAATATATTCAAATTAGATATGTATAATAAATAACAGTCTACAAATAAGTATTGTCGAAAACTGTCTTAATCAGTAAAACTAATCTAGGTAACATCAAAAATATTATGTGCCTTTGCACATAATACACACGTTGAAAAAAGGAACTTCTGTGCTGTATAAAAATATTTAAAATGTAATGACACTCATTATATTTAATCCAGTCAAAAAATATTTAAAAGGCACCAATATATTTAATACGAAGAACGTTATATCGCTATCGTGTCACCGCAAGCGTGAAGCGTGTAACGAGGACACAGTTGCTGCTCCGCGACAGATAATGAATTCCAATTTCATACCTATTGCACCCACAACACATTACTTATTTATCCCTTCACGGAGGCTGTATAGAGTGGCAAATACGAAAACATTTGTTTCTAATTTATAACAAGCACATCGTTAATCTAAAATATCGTGATAAATCGCGTCAACGAGGACCTAGATTCGACCCTTGGCCCATCCACAATCAGATGGACAAACTAATAGATACATAGTAGATAGTAGGTACCTATTACTAGTAGGTATCATACTTAAATGATACATAACATAATGCCTTTTATCCTCGAAGGGGTAGGCAAAGGTGCACATTATGCCACTATACAATGTAACACCCACTTTTCACTATTTATGTTATGAGTCCCATGTAATAGGGGGTGAGCCTATTGCCATATACCGGGCACAATTCCAGACTCCGTGCTACTACTGAGAATTTTACCGAGACCCCTTGCCCGGCAGTCGCACTTGCTACCACTCGGCCAACGAGACAGTAAATGATACTATGATATTTAAATATCTATGTGAAGAATTGAAGATGAATTTTAATTTTAAGGTACATTTTAAACAATATTCGCAACAATATCCACAGTAGGTATATCACTTTCTTGACACATATATATACCTCTATATAAATCATTTCATCTCATCAGCTCCTAATAGTATCGCACTCTCGTACCCTATAAAAACCATCGGGACACTAGAAACCACTTTCATTCCACTTTGGGACGCGCAACAAGTAACAATGAATCTCCCACAATCATCGCTTCGCCCTAAAACGTGTGCGAAAACTTACAAAGCGGCTGAATTGAAAGTGATGAAAATTCTGAACAAAATCGACAGTTTTAAATTGAGTAATTCGTATATCGCGCGTCTGGACATTCCGAAAAGCGGTGGAAAGAAAGTTTTGGGCAGGAAAACGTCAAGTTATATTGTCTTGATTTCGGTTCTAATTTCCGTGCTTCTTTTTAGTGCACGATGGATCTACACTGAATTTCTGGAAAGTAGGGTGAGTAAACTTATATTTTACCTAGGTACAGGTTTTTTAGCAAATATAATTAATAGGTCCATTTATCATCATTTACCTAGATATTGCTTCATCGATTGCAATGGTGACTGCAGTCTACGGTACTTTTCCCGGGTAAATTAAAGTAACGTTGTTTATTTTGTAGCTTCACGTCAAGCGTCTAACTGTTCTGTTTAAGTATACAAAGGTACATAGGTACTTATTTACATACCTACCTGTTTTGTCTTTCCTAGAACTGTTTTATAGAACTCCCGTCATTCTCCAAGTCGGCGTTCCGTCCACCAGAAGATTGTTCCATGTGCTTGGGTGTCGATGACGTGGTCCGCTTGGCAAACATCACGGCTGAGGAGTTTGAAGACAAGTATGCGTACAGCACCACACCAGTCATCGTCACTGACGCTACTGAAGGATGGAGAGCTTTGAAGGTATGAGAAAGGGACAGGGCATTGAATGTTGCAAAACATAATTTTACCCACCTACATTTATTTACCTACTGGGCAGTCGAAACAGACTACGTGTTTTTCAAAGCACGTAAGTAATTTACAATTAATAGGTACGTAAATTTTACAGGAATTCGACTTCAATTTCTTTGCAAACTTCTACAGCGAGAAAAAAATGGGGAAACAAATCAACGACTGTTTTTACTTCGCGTACAAGTCTGGTCTGAAGTCGTTACAAGAAGTGTTTAATATGGACGAGGCGAGGGCTAATCTATCAGGCCAGCCCTGGTATGTTGGATGAAGCACCTGCTATGATGATGAGACGAGAAGGCTCAGGTCTTACTACAAAAGACCCTACTTTCTACCTAAAACGGCTGAAAGTGATATGGTGGACTGGATCTTTATGGGCGGACCTGGTCAAGGGGCGCATATGCATGTAAGTATCGGAAAATTTTACAGGAATTCGACTTCAATTTCTTTGCAAACTTCTACAGCGAGAGCAAAATGGGGAAACAAATCAACGACTGTTTTTACTTCGCGTACAAGTCTGGTCTGAAGTCGTTACAAGAAGTGTTTAATATGGACGAGGCGAGGGCTAATCTATCAGGCCAGCCCTGGTATGTTGGATGAAGCACCTGCTATGATGATGAGACGAGAAGGCTCAGGTCTTACTACAAAAGACCCTACTTTCTACCTAAAACGGCTGAAAGTGATATGGTGGACTGGATCTTTATGGGCGGACCTGGTCAAGGGGCGCATATGCAAGTAAGTAAGTATCGGAAAATGTTATTTCCAAATGTTAAACCATCGTCTAATAGACACTGGAAACAGAATATAGGCTACTACTTAATGTTATGCGGACAAACCAAGAAACATTCGATAAAATAACAAAAAGCCTGAATGTAATGAAATTCGGTAAGTTTATTTGTGGCAAGACTGATCGATTACTAAACAATGGGTAGAGAATGACCTAGGGTTTTTTACAGTTTCAACAAGTACCCACATATTTTTTTAGATTTGTAGGAATTGTAGAATGAATGAATGATGAATAATATGATACTAATTTCACATTAATTATTTGTGCATTTCTCATTTCATTGCTCCTTGGGGACTAAAAGATATCATGATATAATATGCAGGTGGACTCTGTGAAGCACATGTCGTGGCAGGCCCAGGTGCGCGGACACAAGCAGTGGCAGTTGGCGCCGCCGCCGGAGTGCCTCTACCACTGTCGCTGGATCACATTCACGGTGGCCCCAGGAGAAATATGTTAGTAACACACCCTATATTTTGTTCTCAGGCAGCTCATGATATCCCTTTTGTCCAATCGAAATCCTTATATTAGAAATCTATCCAGATTTGTATTGTAACTTTCGTGAGACATACTAAATAAATTATTATGTTTTCGGCTTACTCACGTAATAATTTGACGAGGAACTCGACTAGTTTCAAGCCATGCTAGAGGCTCATATTCATGAGCAGCATTTCGAGACCCGCGACGCGACGCAGCGACTTTCGCGTTGCTACTGAGTAGCGCAGTAGCAACGCGACAGTCGCCGCGTAGTCGAGTTCCTCGTCAAATTAGTACACGAGTAAGCCGAAAACATAATAATTTATCTATCTAGATTAGAATAGATTCTAGACCTAATTTACCTTTAAGGTCTTATTCTGGACCTAATTTGCCTTGAATGTACCGATATGAGTCACAATAGAAAATACATTACGTGGATCCACGTTTAGACACACGATGGATTAATAAAGGCTTTGCAACCCCGATTATTTTATGTAGATAATTTTTATCATCAGACGTTCAGCTTGTCTGTAAGAATTTTAATAGCAATATTACTAGAATTTTGATAGCAATTTGACTATTCTCTTTTGGTTACTTACAGTGGTAGTGGATACAAACCGCTGGTATCACAAAACGAATGTACTGCCTGGAGACATCAGCATCACTATCGGCGCCGAGTATGATTAGCTTCGATACAAGACCCATATAATATGCTCTATATTATTGAGTAGATGTTACTACAAGTATTGCACTGTAAACACAATACAACACGGAGTTAAATTGAAACAAATCGTGTAATGCTACTAAAAACCTTTAATCATCACCATTAAACTATGCTACGCGACACTCAGCGAACTAAGTTGATAACATCGATAGGTTGGAATGACAATCAGCTACAATACAGAGAGCGTCTGACACAATACCATTATACAATTATACAGTTACACACGGAGACTGGAATACTGCAAGATATCCTTATGTAGACAAATTCATAATAAATAATTATACTTACATTTTGAATAAAAAACTCTTTATAATAAGTAATTTATTTAAAAATTATTAAATTAAAATTGCAATCTATCAACACTGCAGATATCAATCAAATTACACGGAATACGGATTCTACGAACAATATTTAAGTACAACAATTGAATGTATAGTGGGTTACACAGAGTGGCCGTTCACACTTTATTACTTACAAAAAATTGGATTAAATAAAAAAATATTTATTAATTAGGAAAATATAAAAGAAAATGATTTTATTTGTAATCTGTACCCTTGGTGTTGTAGTAAATAAAGTTTTTGAAGAACCTTCTAATGTTTTATCTTATCTGTATACGATTAAATACTTTCCGAAGTACGAAGAAAGCGTAGAATATAATATATCGTCATTATAGACGCTAACATTAAGTTTGATTAGCATAACATTGAATTTAACTCGAAACATTGAACAGGGAGTAACATTATAGAGTATAAGCTGCCTAGTCCCAGCTGTATACACTGTGACGATAACATCTACTACAAACAGTACGCCGGGTACATAATTACTTCACACAATTAAAATATACTCTCTCATCATATATTTCTTTGAACAATTTAACTAATATATTTATTAATCTGTCTTTTATATTGTATCGTATTGTATCGAATAAACATTTTCTTTACATTTTTGTAACAGTTATGATGAAGTAGTATATTATAATGTATGCTCAACGTTGGAAATGTGTCGTGTTTACTCTTCCGTCTGTCCCGCCGAGTCGAGGATCACCTCGAAGGAGAACGGCTGGAAGAGGTAACCCTCGCCCTGGTAGAACTTACTCTGGAACTCCACCCTGGGGAATGAAACAGGTTATTTTAGTAACATAGAAACTATGCTATCATCACGCAAATATATGTTTTGCGACAAGTTTAGGAGCAACCATTTAATGAAATATAATATAATGAACATGGCATGTTACAGATTCGTTTAAGGAACATATTATCATATTATATAAACTATTCGTGTAATTCACAAATTATCGTTCCGGATCTGGGTGTGATTATAAAGGGACCCACATTGGAGAAAATCCTAGTTTGCGGATTTTTTTTTGTTTTTTAAGATAAAAGATACTGACCAGTGCAGACGCAGGGTATGCAGGAAGGCGGAGAGTCCCTCCATGAGTACGAGTATAGACACAGAGATGGCGGCCCAGCCTGCGAACACTATGTACAGGAAGATGCCGCCCTGGTAGTCTGTCGACATCAAACCTGGACAAACAAACATATATCATTCATTACACACGTTGATAATATTTTAAATAAAATAACATAAACATAACATCACGCCTTTTAGCCGCGAAGGGGTAAGCAGAGGTGCACATTACGGCACTTAATGACACTGTACAATGTAACGACCACTGTTCACTACTTACATTATGAGTTCCACGTAATAGGAAGTGAGCCTATTGCCATAACCGGGCACAATTAGAGACTTCGTGCTACTATTGAGAAATTTTATAACCTGGTTATACTTTGCCCGACTCGGGAATTGAACTCGACACCTCTTGTCCGGCAGCCGCACTTGCGACGATATAATAACGTAAGGCGTAAAAGTAACGCGTAGCGAACCTTCTTTTTTAGTGGTCTTTTGTGCTGAGGTTTCAAAGTCAAAGAGTCATATTATTGCAATGTCTGTGCCCTGAAGTCTGTCCCGGGATGTACGGCTACTAGTACCGCAGCACAGAGAGGACAGAGAGCGCGCGTACCTTTCCGTAGCAGCATGTTCCAGGCGACCTCGGCGAGCTGCGCGTGCGCCAGCGACAGCGCCCACAGCCGCAGGTACGACGCCGTGTGGGACACGCTGCCCAGCACGTACTCGATCGTGTGGATGCCCTGCGGGGCGCCCGGGTCAGTCGCGGGGATACAAGTACACACGAAGGATTAAACCTTCTAAGTTCACTTTCAATAGACATAGATCTTCTTATGAAAGAAAGTTTGTAAAATACTTTAATACTAATTCATGAAACATTTTTACAACATTAACATTCCAAGTCATGCACCGATTGATCCGGCGCAAAGGAAATGTATTTCTAAATTAGTAGTACATTTCCTTTAGTACGCTCGCACTAAGAGTAGAGGGAAAGGGAGAGGGAATAATGAGTTGGACTTGTGGAATCTCCTTATTATTTACAATATTGTCATTTAAAATTACATACATACATAACTTCACGCCTGTCTCCCATGGAGGTAGGCAGAGACTAGAGAACACCAATTATTACGATTCCTACATACCTCTTTCGCTTCATCAACAGTCATCAATCTTGTCATGCATGCTCTTCGGTTAAGGGTACTTTTAATTTGGCCCTTCTTTAATATATCGCCAATCTGGTCACTATATGTCCATCTAGGGCGCCCTCTACCGACGGCCCCATTCATATCCGCTCTGTATACTTCTTTCGTTACTCATCTTTCATCCATCCTTTATACATGTCCAAACCTGCGTAACATTCCCTTTTCAATCCTTGTCACTACATCATCTTTCACACCACACCTTTCTCTAATAACACTATTTTTCACTCCATCACTAAATTTTAGTCCACACATACTTTTCAGAGCTCTCATTTCCACCGCATTAATCCTACTTTCACGCTTCTTCTCCCACACCCATGATTCACTACTATACATAAGCGTTGGTGTCAATACACACTGCATTACAGCAAGTCGAGCTTTGCTGGATATTATTTTACTCGACATTACAGAGTGTAAAGCACTATTAACACTATTTCCCGCTTTCACTCTCCTTTCAATATCCCCGTCACACTTTCCATCTCTCGTAAATAGTGATCCCAACACACAAATTCATTCACTTGTTCCAATTTTTCATCACCTATAATTACCTGACATTCTGTTATCACCTCATTTGTTTCTATCACCAACACTTTCGTTTTGTTCACATTTTCTTTCAAATGAATCATTCATAGCAGTGATCATTAGTTGTAATTCTTCGGCCGACGAGGCAACAAGCACCTGGT